CATATTTACTGTCACCACCTCCAACTTCCACTCTAAATTCAAACTCCAGGAACTAGCCAGAGCTTTGGATCTCTTCCCCTCTTTCAACCATAAAATTCTATTTGTCTGGGAAGACAGGTTGGGCAACCAGCATAGGTAGTGTTGTTAACTACTGTTGAGTCAGTTCTGACTCACAGCGACTCTATAGGGTTTCTGAGGAGCAGCTGTGGGTTTGAACTGCTGACCTATGGTTCGCAGTCCAGTGCTGAGCCTACAGCACCACACCAGGGCTACAACATAGGAATAGTCTTATAAAGAAAGCAATGTAGATTTTGCTGGAATTTGAAAATGTCTTTTGAGCCATTAGAACTTACTTTATACTCTTGGTTTAGTAGAATGCCTTTTGCTATTTATTTATTCATTCTTCTATATTCCCATTCCTCAACACTTGGGAATAGTCAATCCAAGTGCCTTTTAGTTGTCACTATCAGGTGCTGTTGAGCTGGTTCCAACTCACAGTGACCCTATGCAGAACACTGCCCAGCCTGCTCTATCCTCACAGTTATTGCCATGCTTAAGCTTGTTGGTGTAGCCACTGTGTCAGTCCAGCTTGTTGAGGGGCTTCCTGTTTTCTGCTGACTCTCTACTTTATCAAAGGAGCTTTGGTAGCGTAGTGGTTACGAATCGGGCTGCAAACCACAAGGTCAACAGTTCGAAACTACCAGCTGTTCCGCAGGAGAAAGATGAGGCTTTCTGCTCCTGTAAAGATTTACAGCCTTGGAAACCCTGTACAGGGTCCTATGAGTCGGAACCGACTCCACAGCACATAACAACAACAACAACTACTTTATCAAGCATGGTGTCCTTCTCCAGGGACTGGTTCCTTCTGACAACATGACCAAAGTATATAAGACCAAGTCTCACTGTCCTGACTTCTAAGAGGCGTTCCAGCTGTACCTATCCCAAGACATATTTGTTTGTTTTTCTGGAAGTCCTTGGTATATTCCACATTCTTCACCAACACCACAATTCAAAGGCACCTTTTTAGGTCTTCCTTATTCATTGTCCAACTTTTGTGTGCATATGAGGCAACTGACAATATCATGGCTTGGGCCAGGCGCACATTAGTCCTCAAACTGAAATTTTAACTCTTTAACGCTTGAAAGTGGTCTTTTGCAGCAGATTTGCCCAATGCAATACCATGTTTGATTTCTAGACTGCTACTTCAGTGGGCATTGATTATGATTTCAAGTAAAATTAAATCCTTGACACCTTCAATTGTTTCTTTGTTTATCATGATGTTGCTCATTGGACCAGTTGTGAGGATTTTGTTTTCTTTGTGTTGAGGAGAAATCTGTACTGAAAGTTGTATTATTTGATTTTCACTAGTAAGTACTTCAAGTCCTTTTTATGTTCAGCAAGCAAGGTTGTGTTATTTGCATAGCTCAGTTTGTTAATGAGACTTCCTTCAATCCTGATGCCATGTTCTTCATGTATGCCAGCTTCTCAGATTGAGTAAGTATGGTGAAAGAATACAACCCTGACACAAACCTCTTCTGAATTTAAAACACTCAATATCTCCTTGTTTTTTTTTCAAATGACTGCCTTTTGGTCTGCAAACAAGTTTCACATGAGAGAAATTAAGTGTTCTGGAATTCCCATTCTTCACAATGTTATTCATAATTTATTATGATTCACACAGTTGAATGCCTTTGCACAGTCAATAAAACACAGGTAAGCCTCTTTCTGTTATTAACTGCTTTCAACCAAGATCCATCTGACATTAGTAAAGTTATCCCTAGTTCAATGGCCTCTTCTGAACTTGGCTTGAATTTCTGGCAGCTCTCTGACTATGGACTGCTCTAACTGTGTTTGAATTATCTTTGGCAGATTTTTACTTGTGTGTGATATTAATGATATTGTTTAATAATTTCTGCGTTCTGTTGAATGTCCTTTCTTTGAAATGAGCATAATTATGGTTATTATTGGTCTCTTCCAGTCCAATGGTCATGTAGCTGTTTTCCAGTTTTCTTGCCATGACCACCTTTTACTTAGAGATCTGTATTTTGCCATTATACAAGTCACTTATCTGGAAAATTTGACAATAGATGCTATTCCTATGTAAGGCACTAGGTTGTTTTTGTTGTTGTTAAGTGCCGTTGAGTCAGTTCCAACCTGAACAGGATTTCCTAGGAGCAGCTTGTGGGTTTGAAACACCGACTTTGTGGTTAGCAGCGCTCCAAGGCACTAGGTGAGGCTTACTAATTTGAAGGAATTTAAATAGAAGTTCTGGTGTGGTGCTGTAGAATAAGCACTGGACTGCTAACTCTAAGATCAGTGCCACTCCTCAGAAATCCTATATGTGGTTGCTGTGATTTTGAACTGATTCAATGGCACTTAACAATCACAACAACTAATTGGTAGAAAAAAGAAAAGAGGAAGAAGACCCCCAAAGAGATGGATTGACATAGTGGCAGCAACAATGGGCTCAAACCTAAGAACAATTGTGAGGATGGTACTGGACAGGGCAGTATTTCATTCTGTTGTGCACAGGGTCATTGTGAGTGGGAACTGACTCAATAGCACCTAACAACAACAACAACAACAGCAACAAGAACCAGAAAAACAAACCCCCTGCCATGGAATTGATTCCCACTTATAGCAACCCTTCTAGTGACAAACAAATCTATCAAAGAAATCCAGAAAAAATTGAACCAAACTGATTTTTTTGAATTGCAAATAAAAATAAGCAATTAAAACCAAAAAGCACTCTTTTCCTAATTATATACAAAGTTTAAGACAGTTTAAAAAACACACACACAAAGAAGAAGAAGAAAAAAAAACGATCAGAAAAAAATTGGAATAAGCAAATTTTTTCCCTCTGTTTCTTCAATAAACCTTCCAAATCCCATAGTCAAAAAAGCAAACTAAAAGTATACAGCAGTTTCAGACCAGTAGTTGGAGAAGGAAGATAATATATTTTTTTTCCTAGTTGGAAAATAAAGAGATCATCTTTATAGCAGAAATGTCTGGCCTTTGAATCAACTCCTAGATTACCAGCTCCAATTCTGGGATCCAATAATTATAAAATTTCTATTGCCTATGAGCAGGGAAAGAGGTAACAGATGGCTAATAGCAACAGGCAAGATCTTTTAAGAACTATTTGTTGTTTATGAAATATTATTTTCAAATATTTTTTGAGAATGAAAACTAGCCTTGCAGGTAGACATCTGCACGAATCTTGGAGGTTAGAACTAAGAGGCAGACAGATAGACTGGAACCCAGACTATTGGCAGGCTCAGAAGATACCAATTTTGATTCCTGATGCTAAAGTCACAGCTTTCCAGTAGGGTTCATCGATTTGTTGTATTGTAAATGGCGTTTTGTCTGTGCTTTCATTTTGTAGTTGGCTGTGAAAATGTAATTGCAAGACTATAAAAGGAAGTTTAACATCATTGTATACAATTCTAGGTTTCAGGCTACCCTTGAGTCCATGCTGGGAATTACTAGACATAAAGGTAGCCTAGGCTATGGGTCGGAACCGACTCAATGGCACATAACCACAACAACAACCACAGGCAGGATAGGGGTGGGGTAGGGTGGGGTAAGGTAAAGTCATCATTGGCTCAGTGGTGTTGCCAATTCTTATTTTTCTTCTCCAATCTGTCTGTTACTATTTATTTTCAGGGCCCTGAGATAGCTTTTCCCATGCATTCTGCCAGATGTGGATGATTTTTATTTCTTGATCTACTTTGTCAGATAAAGTATAGAATAAATTCCAATTGATCTAATTTCACACAATTGCGAGACATGAATTTAGGGAAGAGATAAGCTAGATGAATTTAATTATATTAAAATGTATAGTAGTATTTTCTCATTTTCTCTTATAATGAACTTGGAACCAAAAAAAAAAAGCATAAGATTTGTATCAATCAAGCTTCCTTCTATTTGGGACACTGATATAAACTAGCAGCAAAACTCTCATTAGAGATAACTAAAGTCATGCTTATCCCTCCGCAGAACGCTCAATGATGGGGATTAGGAAGTAAAATTTTATTTTAGTATATATCTTGTTGAATGAAGTGAGTATATAGAATTTAATTGAACAAGCCAAGAAGATCCCATGTTTTCTTTGCCCATTTCCATTATTACTTAACTCAAGACTCCATATCCAGAGCTGTTTGAGTTTGTTTCTTCCTTTTTACCTACTTTAATGATATATGTGTAAGCCAGTGAAAAGGGTAGAGTATATGTCAAGAATCCATATCTACTAAATAGTTCTGATAGCAAAACATTTAGTTAAAGCAAGCTTCTGGAACCTGGTTGGGTAAAACTATATCAGTAGATGATACCTTCTTAAATTTTGATGATGGTGTGCATAAAAAGTGACAGAGAAGATCCGAGTGACAATACTTTCTCTTCTGGTGAATTTGTAATACTCAGGAGAACATTTTTACATTTGATTTTGCGTAGTTCACAGACTTTTGAATTCTGTGTTAAGGTTTGAAAACTGTTGATTCCAAATTAGACTTGGATCTGTAAGGAAATAGTTGGCACATTTGGTCAACCCTTCTTCCTTTTCAAAGTATTTTATATCTATGACTGTACATATTTGCTTTTAATAGACTGATTTTATAGATGAGGAAAACTAAGATTCTGGTAGTTAAGGAACTGCTAATTGGCCCATACCACATCACTCACAATCCAGAAACTAGGGCTCAGAACTCTTAATTTGCAGGCCAGTGCTTTTCCCTTGTACCACACTGAATAATGATAAGTGATAAGTTTATGAAGGGCAGTAAGAAGGGGTGTGGAGCTCACCTTACCCCTGAACTCTGTATGGTAACAGGGAGAACATTGGGGGACCAGGACTGGACCTTGGGGGACCAGGACTCTTCTTGTCCCCGACCGTGAAATCTCTGATCTTGTCATGTGATAAGATTGTGACTGAACTATTCTTAATGCTAACTTTCTGCTACATTTATTGTCTTGATGCTTATATTTTCTTGCTACATTTCTAGGCATGAAAGGATGCATACCAGAAGACCCTATCATGTGGAGGGTGTAGAAAAATACTGCCTTGAGGACGATTTGGTCAATCTTGAGGTTCTGGATGAGGTACTAAATACTTTATAGACAATTCTCACCAATGAGATTTATCTCACATGAATGAGCTGACCTTTCTGTTGTAGACCATCTTCTCCTGAGGTCACTTGAAAATGGAATTGTTTATAGCCTTAGGATGAAGCACAGGAAACATTTGATTGCTGTGACTATGCTCTTGTGTTATGTATTCATTTCCAGCTCCTCAAATGATGATGAGGAAATAGTTTGGATTTTTCCAATTAAGCCTTTTACATTGTAGTCCTGAATGATGGACTATATTAGCTGAAATTATTTTCTGTTTAATAAAAACTTGCATCTTAACTATAGAAATCAAGATAGTTGTTTGTTCTTCATAAAAGGAAACTTCATTTAGGGAAATAGTGGAGTTAATATAGCTTGAATTCTAAATTTGAAAACTGTGACAATCCCTATTTAAAATATGCATGTTTAATAGAGCTGTTAATTGCAATGGGCCTGCTTCTGCTGATTTTAACTCTGGGAGCCCTTAACTTCAATGCCTGAATCACTAAATATAATATAAACATGTTCAATTTTTATATTCCCATCATAAGTTTTAAGTGCAGTGATTTGAGAGATGAAGTTACTATTGTGCTTCATCAATATGAATGGCCTATTTAATCCAATTCAAAATAGAACATTCTGATTGGGTGAGACAATTTTTCTTAATACCAAATAAAACTTTTGGGAGGTGCCTTAATGTCTTTTGATAAGTCATTTCACTCCATGAATGTAAGAATAGAACTATGTTCCAGAGGATTTTCAATGACTGTTTTTTTGGAATTAGATTACTAAGCCTTTTTTTCAAGGGTGCCTCTGGCTGGACTTGAACTTTCAAGCAAAAGAAAAATATAAGAATATTTCTGACATTTCTTCTTTGAAAGAAAATATTGATAGAATTTTCAGGACCAGCGTATGTGTTAAATAAATAACTTCTATCTTTTAAAGAAAAAGTATTTCTTTTTAAACTAACTTTTTTATTGTGAATTGAGTGAAGGTTTACAGACAATATCATCAGTTTTACATTAAACAAATTATACATTTAGTTTCATCCCAATGATTGCAGTCCCCTCCGTGCAACAACAGTAGTCCACTTCCTCCCTGTGGTTCCTTTTTCCTTTCCACCCTCCTTCCCATTCCGCCTCAGTTTTGCCCGTAGGTAAATGTTGCCTTTTGATTTTGAACAATTGACCATTCCATGGTGAGCATACCTTACTAGTGTTGTCTCCCTATATACTTATTTACTACTTGTGTGAAAACTAAGAAAAAGTATTCTTGTAAGAATGAGTTTGTTGCACTGACCGCCTAAGACAGGCAGCGTCCCTTAAACAAACAATAAATAAGGGGGAATCTGATGCAGACTGTGCAGACCCGGTCAGGAGATCAAGACCCTGTGGGCCCAAGCGTGTTGACCGTCCAAACCATAGGCTCTGAGGATCAGACTTTAGCCACCTAGTAGACATAGCAAACTGTCCCTCATCTGATTATTCAGTAATGCTTGTTAGTAAGATATACATGAGCCCTGGATATCCACAGACAAATGTAAAAACCTTCCCTAAAAGCCAAGACTGTAAATTCCAAAAAGGTAGCCTAGGCTATGCCAAAAAAAAAAGCTAAAGAGGATAGAGAAACACTGTTAACTGATGATATATGGAGGGGATAATAATCAATGTAATGAAACAATCTATATGAATGGTTGAATGTGAAGCTGATGATGTGCCCTGTAAAACATTTAATAAATAAAAATAAATAAATAAGATAATTAAAAAAAAAAAAAGAATGAGTTTGTTGTTATTTTTAGAATTTCTTTCTTGGGTGGAAATAATGTTTAGTCTCAATATCATTTATCCTCTTCTTAGGATACAATTATTCATCAGTTGCAGAAGCGTTATATGGACTTGTTGATTTACACATATGTTGGAGATATCCTAATTGCCTTGAACCCTTTTCAGAATCTCAGCATATACTCTCCACAGGTAAGGTGTTCATTAACAGCACATTATTGTTAAGTGCCATAAAATTGGTTCCAATTCATAGTGACCCTTCATAGGGTTTCCGAGGAGCAACTGGCAAGTTTGAACTGCTAACCGTGAGGTTAGCAGTCCAGTGCTTATCCTATAGCACCACAAATCATAAGGGAGAATGAAAAGAAAAAAAAAAAAGGTAAGAATGAAATTATGCTAATATACAGCCCAATATACAAGTAATAATGTAGTACAAACTAAATTCTTACATTTTGACAGTGAATTTTTAAAAGAAGCTAGTAGTAGTTGTTGTTAGGTGCCATCGGGTGGGCTCCGACTCATAGCGACCCTATACACAACAGAACGAAACACTTGCTGATGGTGTACCATCCTCATAAATATTGTTACGCATGAGCCCATTGCTGCTGCCACTGTGTCAATCCATCTCATTGGGGTTTTCCTCTTTTTTACTGACCCTACACATTACCAAACATGATGTCCTTAAATGGGGACTGGTCCCTCCTGATAACATATCCAAAGTAAGAGAGATGAAGTCTTGCCATGGTGGCTTCTAAGAAGCATTCTGGCTATCCTTTGTATAACACAGATTAGTTTGCTCTTTTGGCAGTCCATGGTACTTTCTATATTCTTCTCCAACACCATTGCATCAATTCTTCTATGGTCTTCCTTATTTATTGCCCAACTCTTACATGTATTATAGGCTTTTGAAAATACCATGACTTGGGTCAGGGGCACCTTAGTCCTTAAACTAGTATCTTTGCTCGTGAACACTTTAAAGAGGGCTTGTGCAGCAGATTTGCCTAATACAATATGTCATTTGATTTCTTGACTGCTGCTTCCTAAAGTGTTAATTATAGATTCAAGCAAAATGAAGTCTTTGACAACTTCAATCTTTTCTTCATTTATCATGATGCTATTTACTTGTCTGTGGGAGAAAGATGAGACTTTCTGCTCCCGTAAAGATTTACAGCCTCAGGAACCCTGTACAGAGTCACTATGAGTCAGAACCAACTCCACGACACAACCACCAACCATCACCACCACTTACTTGTCAAGTTGTTAGGATTTTTGTTTTCTATACATTGAGATTTCATTTTTGACAACTTCCAGTTTTCCCACATTCATACTTCGTACATTCCATGTTCTAATTTTCGATGGATGGTTACAGCTGTTTCTCTTCATTTTGAATTGTGCCCCATCAGCAAATGAAGGCCCCACGGGCTTTTCTCCCATGGGCCTTACTCCATTTGTGTCATCACAGTCAACTCTACTTTGAGGAGGCAGCTCTTCCCCAGTCACATTTTGAGTGCCTTCCAACCTGAGGGGCTTATTTACTAGCACTATATCTGACACTGTTTCTCTGCTATTCATAAGGTTTTCAGTGATTAATATTCAGAAGTAGTTCATCACTCCTTCTTCCTAGTCTGACTTAGTCTGGAAGGTCATCTGAAACCTGTCCACCAAGGGTGACCCTGCTGATATTTAAATACTGATGGCATAGCTAATACTATGAAATGGAACACATAAACATCAATATCTTAGGCATTAGTGAGCTGAAATGGACTGGTATTGGCCATTTTGAATCTGATGACCGCATGGCTTACTATGCAGGAAATAACAAATTAAAGAGGAATGGTGTTGCATTCCTTGTCAAAAAGAACATATCCTGATCAAGTCATGAGGTACAACGCTGTCTGTGATAGGATAATATCCA